TGTGACATGACTAAAGGATCTGGAAGAGTTATTACTCTGTGTGACTGACACGTGTCTGTCCGATGACCTGACTGCAGAGGTAACTCCCATGATGGACGCGTCGCAATCCACCGTCGGCGCTTCTGTCGCTCTCTTGCCGTTGGTCTTTTTCTTTCTCTCGGTTTTTAGAATAAATTTTTGAACCGTTTTCCCTCCCTCTCCCTGACCTAAAAAATAAAATTAAATTAAATTAAAAAAAAATAAAAAAAGGAAAGAAAGAAAGGTGAAGCTTAAAAACAACAAAAAACAGATAACAGTGAACCTAAAGACAAGAGAACCATAAACCCAGAAAGCAAAGAGAACCTAAAACAAGAAAACAAAGAAAAGTGACCTAAAACAAGAAAACAAAGAAAATTTAACCTAAAACAAGAAGACAAAGAAAATTGAACCTAAAACAAGAAGACAAAGGAAATTGAACCTAAAACAAGAAAACAAAGAAAATTGAACCTAAAACAAGAAAACAAAGAAAATTGAACCTAAAATACGAAAACAAAGAAAATTGAACCTAAAACAAGAAAACCCCAAAACAAAAAGAACTCTTAACAGCAGAACCCACGGCAAAAAATGGGGAACCGAGAACCAGAAGCCGAGAACCAAGAGGACCCCCCACTCCCCATGGAACCCAGAGCAACGCAACCGGGAGCCAGAGCGAGGCCGCTTATCCCGCCGCAGCCTCGTTATCCAAGAGATCTTCATCGCCGCCTTCATGAGCCTTCGCCTCCTCCTCGTGATCCGCGCTGACGTCTTGTCGCGCCGTCTGTCGTGTTCGTCCTTCCTCTTTCCTCGTCTCTTCTCCCTCCTTCTCTCTCTTCTCTCCTTCCTCCTTGTCTTTCCTACTCCTCTCTATTCCTCGTCTCTTCTCCTCTCTTGTTCCTCCTTCTCTCCTCTCTCATCCTTCCTCCTTCTCTCTCTTTCATCATCTCATATCTCCTTCTCTCTCCTCGCTCCTCATCTCTCCTCTCTCCTCTCTCCTCCCTCCTCATCTCTTCTTCCCCTTTCTCCCTCCTCATATCTTCTCCTTTCTCCTCTCTCATCTCCTCAAACTCCTTTTCTCCTCTTTATCTCATACTGTCTCTCCCTTGTTCCTCTCGTTCCTCCTTTACTTTTCTATCGCTGCCTCCTACTCCCTCTCCGTTCCTCCTCTTTATTTCACCCCTCTGTATCCTTCATTCTGACCTCCTGCCCTCCTTTCCACCTTCTCTCATTTCTCCTATTTATGTAATCTATCCATCCCTTCCTTCTCTCCATTTCCCCTCCTTCTTCCCCCTCTCTCCCCTACCCTCTTTCCATCGTTTCATCTCATATTTCCCCTTTTCCTACTTTTCATGTCACTCGACCCTCCCTTTCCTCCTCTTCATCTCAACCCCCACCCGTCCCTACACCTCCCCCACCCCACCCCTGTCTGACCCCCCCCCCTCACTTCCCTCTCCCCAGGTAAATTGCCTTAAACCATTAACTCGCGAGTGAAGTTTGTTTTGAGGATGAGGAAGTGGTGGAGGGGTAGGGAGGAGGGAGGAGGGAGGGAGGGGTGGGGAAAGAGGGCACAGGAGAGGAAATAAGGGGAGGAGAATAGGAGGGAAGCAGGAAGGAGGGAAGACGGGAAAGGGAAAGGGAAGGGAAGGGGAAGGGAAGGAGGAAGGAGAGATGGAGGTGGAGAAGTAGTGGAGAGGGCGAATGGTGGAGATGGCGATGAATGTGCACGAGGCGGCGGAACACAAAGCGGAGAAAGAGGAGGGGAAGGCGGGTGAGGGGGGGGGGGAAGGAAAGATCTGATGATCCTCGTGGTTATCACTTTGACAGTTTTTCTTTCAATTTCTCTCTTTAGTCTTTCTTTCAAACTGTTTTTGCTTTCAATGTTCATTTTTAATGTTAAATTTTATCTTTGCGCTTATGCGTGCGTGCGTGTGTGCGTGTGCGTGCGTGTGTGCGTGTGCGTGTGTGTGTGTGTGTGTGTGTGTGCGTGTGTGTGTGTGTGTGACGCGCGCGCGCGCGTGCGTGTGTGAGAGCACGTTCGTACGCGAACGCGTGTACATGATAATATGTGTGCGCGTGCACATTTGCGTGAGCGTGTGTGCGTGTAAGTAAATGTGCCTGTGCCTGTGCATGTATATGTGCATGTATATGTGCAGGCAAATGTGTTTCCGCAACTGCACTTGCAACTCGGCAACTGCGGCATACACAGTGTCTAACAGATTGAAAAAAAAACAGAACCGGGAAAACCTTTAGCGTTCAGCAGAGTTCCAGGCCCTAACGTTTGAACTGTCTCGTTCGGTCTGTGCTCCCAAGGTCGTTTCCAGTCGCTCCCACTTTAGGCTGCCTCTCCCTGGGCCCTGTCCCCGGCGCGAGGGTCCGTGGAGCCCGCCCGAAATATGGATGAGTTCGGCTGGCGTGATTTCGCAAGGGCGGGAGACGGTGGGCGTTGGGGCGGAACCTCGGAAATTGCTCAAAGATTTGGATTGAAATTAGTGGTGATGGTGATGATGGTGATGATGATGATGATGATGATGATGATGATGATGATGATGATAATGGTGGGTGATGATGATGATGATGATGATGAAAATAATACTAGTAGTAATAATAATCATCATTATTATCATTATTATAATTATCATTATAACAATAATAATAATGATAACAATAATAGTAATAATAATAACAATAATAACAATAATAATAATAATAATAACAATGATGATGATGATGATGACAATAGCATCATATTCATAATATGAGATTGGGCGTTCAATTAGGGCTTAAGGATTGGGATTTGAGTTCGGGCTGAAAGACTAGGTATTCAGTAAGGGCTTAAAGATTGAAGTTTAAATTGGGGCTTTGAGACTGGGGTTCAAGTTCGGGCTTAGAGATTGGTGTTCAGTTAGTGCTCAAGGATTGGGCGTTGACCTATGAAGGATTAGGTATTACGTTAAGACATCAAGTCTCGGAGTTAAATTAATTCTTAAAGATTGGCTGTTAACTTAGGGCTCAAGGGCTGTGCATTAAATGATTGGGCAGGGGATTAGGGTTTAAATTAAAGACTGGGTATTTATTAAGGGCACAAGAGTTTAGACATTTAAGTTAGGGCTTCAAGATCGGGCGTCAAGTTAGAGCTGAAAGACTGGGAATTGAAGATGATATTGAGGCACTGGGGATTGCCTGAAGGGGGGGAGGGGGTAGGGCGGACATCAGCCAATAAAAAAAATGAAATTCTGAATGACCACGAATCTGACGAATTTCATAAAGCTGAATTAAATGGATTCCATTCGGGGTGAGAGACATGATATAAAGATTTATTAATCGAGTGATTATCTCGATAAACTGAATTAAAACACTTCTGAACGAGAAGGTAACCCTAGGTGATCTATTAAATATAAAATTCCTTCAACAATTTAACACTGGAAGAATTTTCAGCTTATGTATTAAGAATGATAATAATAATAACAGTAACAATGATAATAATGATGATGTTAATTGTAATAATAAATAATGATGATAATAATAATTATAATTATAATAATAACAATTATAATGATGATGATGATGATATTAATAACAATAATGATGATAATAATGATAACAATGGGGATGATGATGATGATGATAACAATAATAATAATAATAATAATAATAATAACAATAATAATAATAATAATAATATTAATAATAATAACAGCAACAACACAACAATAATAAGTATAGCAATAACAATAACAAAGAAGTAATGATAACAATAATAATAATAAATGATGATTTATTAACAATAATGATAATAATAATAATAATGATGATGATCATAATAATAACAATCAGAAGAATGATGATGATAATAATTATAATGATAATGATAATGACAATAATAATAACAATAATGGGTATAATATTAATAATAGATTTTACGTTAATGGTAATAACAATAATAATAATAATGATAATAATAATAATAATAATAATATTAAAACAATAACAATACTACTACTACTAATAATAATAATAATAAATATAATTACCATTATTATTATTACTATTATCATTATCATTATCATCATTATTACTTTCATCTTTATTACCATAATAATAATAATAATAATAATAATAATAATAATAATAATAATAATAATAATAATAATAACAAAAAAATAATAACAATAATAACAATAATAATTATTATTATTACCAGTAATAATTGTATTAATTATGATGATGATGATAGTAATGATAAAGATGATGATGATTATCAATGTCAGTATTACTGTCATTAAAGTTATTATCATTATTATCACTACCAACGTCATCATCCTTCTTCTCACTCTTATCATCACCACCATCACTAACAACGACAATGGCGATGACGATGATAAAATTTTAAATTCCGAAACCATCAAAACTCGACATTCTGACAACCAACCAGCTATATGAACAAGGTCATTTATTTCGACGTCACATCCCCAAATGACCCTTTAATGCAAATACAATTATTTTGTCTAATTATAATTTAGAAGAACAATGGCTCACGGATAACTATGGATTATAAAGATAAATTCGGATCATTTGTGGCAGTTATAATGAATTTAGCATAAGCTCTCTTTGAAAAGTATCGTTGAAAATTAATGATTTAGAGGCAAATACTATGAGTTGCATGTATATTAGCTCGCTTGGTATGGCAGCGGTATTTTGAAAATGAATAATCGGTTCATGTAGAGAATATCCTCATGATGTCCTCTATGTTGCTTTTTATTTTACTGTACCTAGTGCCACGTATATTATCCACACACACACACATATGTATGTATGTATATGTATGATGCTGATAAAATGCGCTAATAATCTATATGTGATATCAAAGGGATACACGCACACACACACGCGCCCGCACACGCGCGTGCACACACACATACACACATACATGCACATTCTCTCATACACACGTACGCACATATGAAACTAATCAAAACATTTCCTACCTCCTTCCCTGGTGTGAGGTTGCCCTGGATCTTTGGCTCCCTCTGCGTGTCCTCCTCGTCCTCAGGGCTCGAGGGCATTGAGGACATCGCGCGCTCCTCCCTGGCCAAGGATCCTCTGCGGGAAATCCGGACACGACCTTCCAGGCTCCTGCTGGCACGACGCTCGCCGGGTACGGTAAGGGTGTCCTTCAGCTGGGTCCTGGAGTCCAGACGTTCCATCTTCATCCGCATCCTTGCTTCCCTTTGACTCTCATCCTCGGGATCTTCGGGGATGTCCTCCTGGATGTCGATCCTCGAGGGGATGCCTCTCCGGGACACTCGGGTATCCAGCGGCTGGAACAAGCGCAGTTTTGAAGGGTCGGTGATGATGGTCCCATCGCTGAAGGATTTCGAAACAAACCTCTTTGTTGGGGAGGCGTGCTCTTGAGTCGGCGCGGAGGAAATGGTCGAGGGGTTCGACTCCTTCTCAGCGTCGGGCAGCTCGGGTTCTTGGGAGAGACTAATGGTCGGATTCCCGTGGATCCGGATCTCTGGACTCGGGTTTGTGCCTGCCTTTGCGGCGGAGTCAGCTTCTACGACGATTGTGCTTTTATTCTCCTGCGGGTCGTCTTTGTTCGCCTTTTTGACGTCATTCGTTTTCACCGCTTCACTGGCTTCATCCACTTCTTCCTTCTCCTCTTGGTTTTTGTTGAGGTCTTCTATCTCTATGCTATCTGGCAACTTTGGTCCCTGGTCCTCGGGTTTCGCGAAGCTACTCGAGACGTTCGAGGACGTGTCGAGGATTTCGATCTGCGTGTTTTCTCGCAGGAAGGGCTTGTGGACCCTCTTCCTGGGCTTCCGCTCTTCCCCATTCGAGGTCCTCTTCCTGCCGAACTTTTCTTCCTCTTTATCACTCTCTCCCCTCTCATCCAGATTTATTATCTGCAAGTCCTCCACGTCCGAGAAGGAGAGGGAGAGCCCTTCCCACGCAGTGCCTCTTCCTGAGCTCTTGCCATCGAGGTCCTGCTCCTCCAAATCATACACCTCGACCACCGTCTCCCCTCTCTTCAGGTACTCGTCCCTGTTCCCCGTCCCCTCGTCCCCTCCCCTTCTCACGTCACTCACTTTATCCACCACGTCGTCACCGCTATGGATACCGCTGTCTGTTTCGTGGGCCTCACTGTTCTCACTGTCCTTTACTCCTTCGTTGCCATTGAGTAAACGAGGGCTGCTGTCCACGCGTAGGTCATCCATCCTGACCTCAGCGAGAAATCTCACTGACTTTTTTTCCGAGTCTTGGTCTCTAAAAAAATAAAGGAAGAAAAAAAATCTACCTACGGCATTGTACTATATTGCCTGCTACGGATTGGACCACATAACTAGCTGCTTGGCCTATATACCTCTACCATGTTTTTATTTCAGTTCATTTCAGGATACCACTACGAGTATTTCATTATTCTTCGATCCATGGCCTCGTGTTTTCATCACTCTTGGTCGAAAACGTTAACCTCGACCTTGTTTCCAATTCTGGGATTGGGGCAGTACCAGAATGTTGAGTTTTTTCATTGTTTGTGGAGCGTTTCTGTTCATTGTCCCAGGCAGTTCATCGGTCTGGAAAGAGAGAATGAAATAATTTAAATGGTTGCTATGATATCACTTACATGTGTGCTCGTGTATGTTAAAAAAAACATCTGGGTGTGTGTTGTGTGTGTGTGTGTGTGTGTGTGTGTGTGTGTGTGTGTGTGTGTGTGTGTGTGTGTGTGTGTGTGTGTGTGTGTGTGTGTGTGTGTGTGTGTGTTTGTGTTGTGTGCATGTGTGTGTGTGTGTGTGTGTGTGTGTGTGTGTGATGTATCTACATAATCATATACTGGCATGATAATTCAAACCAAATATCACGTATCAGTGACCTAAGAAGGAAAATTAAAATTTTATCATATGATACCTCTGTCAAGGGAAATCCAGTTAAAAACGCACACATAAACACACATATATAAGGTATCAAAGACAGAGTACATTAATAAAACCTTAAATAAAAAAATAAAAACACACGTGTTATATTGTGTAATTGATAATTCCTTTGTCTTATAGTTTTAAGATGTTTAGTTTTGTTTTCTTTCTGAAGGACGGAGTGTAACAGTTGAAACCTTCACTCTGGCATTATAAGAACTTTATATCCGTAAGAATAGCAGTTGATGACATTTGGTTGAAACCTTGAATAAAGACTTACAAATCAAATTAAATGAAATAAACACTTCCTCACAAGAAACAGTACAACTGTTTATAAATACTTCATCATATTGAAGTTGAAATACGTATACAAAGTAACGTGTTTAGAATATTCACCTTCTCTCGTACTACCAGTTATATCATGGCCTTTAGCGGATCAGTTTCAAGTTAAATTATTGTTCTAGATTATACGAAGGGTTTGTAGGATAAGTATGTGTAGAACGCCATTTGCTATTTTGAAAAGCATTGCAAATTGCTCTCTGACACGTTCCTCAGTTAACTCTTGAACTAAATTAAATACTAAGTAATACCATACCATGCAGTTGATATGCGTTAAGTGGTCGACATTAATGATAAGATAAGTATATTTATCTGAGTAAATAATTTATCCGATACGCATGAGCTGACTGCGGCGAATATTGGAAAATAATGTAAATGAGACTGAACATCACATATGGATAATCCCTTACTAATTCTATATGAAAACAGCATCGAACGGTAGTGAATATTCATTGTTTTTTTCTCAGTTTACAGTAAGGAGGACAAGAAGAGAAATGATAGACGTGGAGGTGGTGGTAATGATAATGATAATAAAAAAAACTCGAAATATCCTCTTATAAAAATGCCATTTTCCGGTAAATAATACACCACATTCGAGCAACGAGTAACGAAAGTATCGACCATAGCATGCATGTCACCACCTTTGATAGAACAAAAAAATATATATATTCTCACGTTTTAACTCGACCTTTGAACTTTTGCGTATTTTTTTTTTTTTTTTTTAAGAGTTTGATAAAAGAGGCAAATTCTCGTCTTTCCATCATCTACCACGATGAGACAGAAATATGTATACTTTTGTTTCGACGTACAAGCAGCTTTACATGCAACAGAATATGCAAAGTTCTGTTGGTTTTACTTAGATAGACGGATACGGAGAAGAGAGGGGGGGGGGGATGGGCGAATGTGATGAGAGAGAGACGAGAGAGTTAGAGAGGGGGGAGAATATATTATCGTGGTAGTACACGCCAAAGAATCGGTGTGCTAGTTCTAGGTATAAGGGGTATTGAGGTGGCTGGGGTTCAGTCGTGCGGTGCGAGTGCGTACGGTATAATGTTAGGGTGGGCCTACTGGGGGGGCACTGGTGGCCTAGTGTATGTGGCAACTTGGGTAGTTATAGCTAGACATATCGTAAATTAAATATTTATTGAGTATGCTATTTTGCTTTAGCATTATACACACACATATATACCACTTATTAATAATATGTCGGGTATACACATTACCATTTTAACGGAGTGTATGCTATATTATAGTATATATTATCTCACAGTTATACTTATGTATATTTACTTATAGTATTATACATATATATATTATTAACTCGTATATATTATAGTGTTAGTCGTTATTATATTCCTATATATTTATACTATATATTATACTTTATATTATATAGTTAGGCTGATATACTATAGCGTGTTTATATGATTATGGAATATAATTGTATGTATGCTGCTCCTGACAATAGTTTGGTCATATTAATGCCTTTCATTCATACGTAATTCAATATATAGTATCTATGTACTGGCGGAGGAGCCAACGCCTAGCCACCTCGTTAGTACATTATACTATCCCTATTGTAGATATATTATACGTACTGGTTACTACTTATATATATATAATAATATACTATGTGGCCTTCTGTCGACCTGTGTCGACGTGTGTTCCTTATGTCTGGTACTGGGGTCCGTCGTGGTCTTTACTTCCTCCTCTATCGGTTGTAACAAGACAAAAAAAAAAAAAAAAAAAAAAAACAAAAAAAAAAAAAAACTAAAAAAAAAAACATAGATACAAAAAAAAAAAAAAAATAAAAGTAAAAAAAAAAAAACAAAAAAAAAAAAAAAACACACACACACACAAAAAAAAAAACAAAAAAACAAACAAATAAAAAAAAAAAAAAAAAAAAAAAAAAAAAAAGAAAAAGAAAAAAAAAAAAAAAAAATAAAAAACAAAAAAAAAACTATCAAAAAAAAAAAAAAAAAAAAAAAAAAAAAAAACGAAAAAAAAAAAAAATAACAAAAAAATAAAGAAAAAAAAATTACGGCAAAGAACCAAGAACATAAATAAAAAAAAAAAGAACAATACAAAAAAGCAAAAAAGAAAAACATTGAGAAAAAAAACTAACATGTAAAAAGAAAATACACACAATAAAATTAGTCAATAAAACATAGTTACCCAATTCCCCCGTTTACATCTCTCTGTGAAGGTCAGTGTCCAGTTGGTGGCACGTGCTGATGTTCCACGCTGTGTACGGTGATCTCACCTGTGAATGGTGGTCTTTCCTTCTATCGGTTGCTCGGTCACTGCTGTCGTGTCATCTCTGACCCGCCTCCCCTGTCGCGCCCGTGCAGCCTGAGTCATCGACTGCGCCGAGCAGGTTGGCTGGGAGAGTGAGATATTAGGTGTTCATCTCATCAGTGACATGTGGGGGTGCGATGGCGGGACCGTTAGCGATGGTATAGGAGGGAGAGGATGAAGCTGATGAGAGGAAGAGAGAGAAGGAGAGAGAGGAGAGGCGGGGGAAGAGAGGAGAAGAGAAGGCGGGGGAACGAGAGAGAGAGCCAGGGGGGAGGGGGTAACCGAGATCGAGAGAGAGGGGGGGGTGGGGCGAGGAGAGAAGAGTGGGGGGGCGAGAGAGGAGAGAGAGAGAGAGACGATGGTCGTCGTGGAAACCGGCCCGCGGAGGAGGGGTTCAGATGCAGATGCCTCGGAGGATGAGGAGAGGGATGGAAGCAGGGAGAGTGCGGTGGAGGAGAGAGACAGGGAGAAGAGAGGGAGAGTGGAGCCCAGATGTGGCGGCGCGTGTAGAGATTTGAAAGAGAGAGGAGGAGGAGGAGTTAGCCGAGCGAGATTGTGTAGAGCGAAGATGGAGAGGACGAAGAGAGAGAGAGAGAGAGAGAGGAGGCGCCTCGAGAGAGCAGGAGAGATGAGAGGAGGCGAGAGAGAGAGGGCGAGAGAGAAAGAGGAGAGAGAGGAGAGAGAGAGGAGTGAGAGAGGAGTGACGGAGATGAGAGAGATCGAGAGAGAGAGAAGGGAGAGGAGATGAGAAGAGAGAGAGAGTGCACGTGACAAAGACAGAGACACCAATAATGACGGAAGAGGAAACACGAGAAAAGGCAAGATTAAAGCGAAAGGAAGGGAGAACAAACAGCGAGAGAGAAATTTAACAGCGGGAGTAAACACCCAAGTTTATAGCAAATGTGAACGGGCGAATGTGAAAGTTCCCTCCAACAGGAAAGAGAATCGACGACTTTAAAACAGTGTTACGAGAAGCGTGTTAATTTAGAGTGACGTCCTGTGTAATGGATAGATGTCCGCGCCTGGCTTGATTATTATGGTAAGCATTTTGGGGCGGAATTGTGCTGTTGCAGCGCGAAAGCATCAATTGTCACCGAGGATGGCCTGATCTGTCAACAGCAATTACGTAATAAATCCCTTTGTAATGAATCTCAAAGAGCTCCAATGAATATTGTAAAACGGTGTGATCATAAAAGAGAATATGGCTTTTGGGTGCACTTATTCTACGTTTATCACTATTTTCATAATTTTTCTCAAGACAGTTATCAGATATCATTATCGCTATCATCACTGTTACAGATATTACAATACTATTTTCATTAATGTTACTGATGTTACAATTATATATATTGTACTGTACATTATATATCAGATAGTCTGTGTGACTATCGTCGGCGGGGGTGGCAGAGGTGGCATCCATCCGGAATGACTGCTCGAGACAACCTCAAGCGGGGCGTCAGGGTGTGGGCATGGAACGTCCAATCTTTGCGTTAGGATGATCGGTTGCCACTACTTTCAAGGACACTGGGGCGGCTGAGAATGGAGGTGGTTGCTTTCTCGGTGAGAACACCTGGCAACGGCACGGTCAGTGTTGGTGGCTACAACTCTTATTGGCCAGGGAGTAGCCATTGTCATCTCCAGCCCTCGGTGGTAGAGGTTACTCCGGTCGATGAGCATATGATGAAATTGAGACTGAAACATGCATTTGGCTTCATATCTCTTATTGTTGTTTACACTCTTACTAATGTTTGCAAAATCGACTTTACAAGGTCCGAGAAATTGAGGATTTTTAGCCTTAGGAATCGTTGGACATGGTACAGTAATGTGAGTAATGCAGCTAAGGAGAACGACCACATCCTCGTTATTACTTGTTGGAGGATCCTCCTGAACTGCTAGATGTATAGGAGTGCCCAGTTCTGTGATACTGAGTCTAGATTAGTTGTGTCAAAGTCCATTTCAAAACTCCCTATCGGTCCAGTGACCAACTTACGGTGTTTCATCTGGACAAGTTGAAAGAGGGTGTAACT